CAAGGTGCCTCCCTGGTCTTGTATTACATAAAGTGTAATACAACAAGGTGCCTCCCTGGTCTTGTGTTGTATTACACAAAGTATAATATAACAAGGTGCCTCCCTGGTCTTGTGTTGTATTACATAAAGTATAATACAACAAGGTGCCTCCCTGGTCTTCTCTTTGCTCTTTAACGTGACAATGCTGTTGTATTAAACAGTGTATTACTGTATTTTAACGTCTGCTATTGTTATTAAATATTACTGTATAAAATGTGTAGCGGTGTGTAGGAACTTGTGTTGCTGTAGTTAAATGTGTATTGCTCTGATAAACGTTGGGGGGGGTTTTTTATTGCTGTATAGTCTCTAAATAACGTGTATTGCTCTATAGCTCTATAATAAACATGTAATTGCTGTGTATTGTTACGAGTTTACTTTTAACGGTGTAATTAATGGCATTTGGTTAGATGTTTTGGCTCTTGGCTGTTCCTGTTTACCCCTTTCTCCTCTCTTCTCGTCTTCTCTCTCTTCAATCTTTCTCATCCCCCTCTCTCTCATCTCTCTCTCTTCTCTCTCTCTCGTCTCTCTCTCTCCTCTCTCTCTCACAATCTCTAACTCTCTCTCTCTCTCTCTCCACGCCTCTCTCTCTCTCTCTCTCTCATCTCTATCTCTCTCTATCACTCTCTCTCTCTCTCTCTCTCTCGCTCTCGTCTCTCATCTCGATCTCTCCTCTCCTCTCTCTCACTCCTCTCTCTATAATCTCCTCGTCTCTCTGGTCTCTCTCTCTTCTCTCTCTCTCTCCTCTCTCTCTCTCTTCGCTCTCTCTCTCTCTCATCTCTCTCTCTCTCTCATCGGCTCTCTCTCTCTCTCTCTCCTCTCTATCTCTCTCTCTCTCCTCTCTCTCTCACGCTCTCGCACTCTCTCTCTCTCTCTCTCTCTCTCTCATCACTCTTCCTCTCTCTCTCTCTCTCAGTCTCATCTCTCTCTCTCTGCCTCTCTCATCTCTCTCTCTCTCTCTCTCACTCTCTCTCTCTCTCTCTCTCTCCTCTCTCTCATCTCTCTCTCTATCTCTCATTCTCTCTTCTCTCTTCCCTCTCTCTCCCTGCTCCTTTTCTATCTCTCTCTTCTCACTCTCTCTCTCTCTCTCTCTCTCTCTCTCTCTCTCACTCTCTCTCTCCTCTCTCCCCCTCTCCTCCCTCTCTCTTCCTCTCTCTCTCTCTCTCTCTCTCTCCCTCTCTCCCCTCTCTCCCTCTCTCTCTCTCTCTCTCATCTCTCTCTCTCTCTCCCTCCCCCCCTCCTCTCCTCTCTCTCTCTCTCCCTTTTTTTTTTTTTTTTTTTTTTTTACACATGGTTTGACAAGGTTAAGGATCCCTAGCTTTATTGACAAGCTATTTACAGGTTAAGGATTCCTAACTTTATTGACAAGCTAAGAGCTGTTCCCTACATCAGCTCATTTGAAAGCATTTTTATTGTTATGAGACATACAAGTAGGGAACAGATGAAGTTGGAGCCATCTGTGGGCCAGCATTTTCATTTGATCAACTGACGTTATCTCTTTGACATCATTATGCTGAACGAATGTGTTCCATACTCGAGTCATCCTGGGTATGTATGATCTCAGATGGAGTGATGTTCTGGAGAAGGGTACAGCCAGAGTGAAGTTGCTGCTTTCTCCCGTCTTGTGGCATAAAAGCTTGTTTCGCGCTGTCCTCGAAGTGGATCCAAGTGTGGTATTTTTGACAATTTTGGCCTTGTACATAACAGTAAGGCCACCCACAATCCCTCCTATGTTGAAGGCTCTGCTGAAATGACAGATCCATCCGGGATGGGTCCAGGCGAGAGATGAGACGTCTTGCTCTGTTCTCTACTCTGCCCAAGCAGTCGCAGATGAGGGGGGACAGCAAACCAAGAAAGTGGGAGCATACTCAAGTTGTGAGCGTACTTGTGCCTCGACAGTATCTTGCAACCCCTACTGTCAAGCAGATGCGAGATACGGCGGAAGTGCGTAGCTTCCGGGCTGCCTTGTTTGCAAGATTTACAACATGGTTCTTCATGGTTAGTTTTGGAGTCAAATTTCACCCCAAGGAATATCAACTTCTTCTCCAGGTGCCAACATCCTCCCATTCACCCTTTAAACTACTGCACCAGCATTACCATCATGGTGCCCTAGAGACGATCATCATTTGCGTTTTTCTCAGGTGCAAATGTTTACTTGCCATCTATTTCCCCAAGCTGATATAGCTCTCAGCTGGTGATTGATGTAGCTTAGAGCAGGTGGCATTTCTTCTCTTGGATAAGTGAATGTCAGTGTACAGTCGTCTGCATATGCATGTGATTCTGGGATGAGATGAAGAAGGTCGTTTAAGTAGACATTCCATAACAGTGGGCCCAGCACACTTCCTTGTGGAACGCTTGCCCCCAAAAGGATGTCTTGCTGATTCCGTTCCATTGAGGACTACACTTAGAGATCTACCATGAAGGTAATCACTGAGGAGACATAGCGTAGAGCCTGCAATTCCCCGTGCTTGAAGTTTTGCTAAGAGGCCCTGGTGCCACACCCGGTCGAAAGCGCCAGCAATGTCCAGTGCTACCACACAGCTGACTTTGGATTCATCCAGTGACTGGTGCCACTTAGTGGAGAGGTTTAACAACAGATCAGCAGCAGAGTAACCTTTCCTGAAGCCATATTGACGATCACAAAGTAGTGAGTGGTAGTCAAAAAAAAATCTGTCATTTGTCTTGAGATTATTGTCTCAAGGATCTTACCAGTGATTGACAGGAGTGACACTGGTCTGTAGTTTTCTGATTTCTGCTCTGCCTTTCTTTTTGTGAACAGGGACTACATTTGCCTCTTTCCATGGAGAGGGCCATTTGCAC